AGAAGTGGATTAATATCAATAAAAATTATAATAGAAGTCAGGAATTTTCAGGACATATATCAAAATATACTCGTAGGTTTGAAGAAAAAAACAGACCAACAGCACTCATCTTGAGGAGTGGTAAGGAATCTGCTGAAGTTGAAAATAATCATAATATCTATCAAGAATCAACTGTTCAAGGACTGAAAAATAAAAGTTATTCTCTGGAAAAAGATAAACTGATCGAAACTGAAAAAGTTACTCAAGCGGAGATCATTGATGGAAGAAGCGTAAAAGAATTTTCCAGTATTGCGCGTAATAAACTGAGGCATAAGGGAGAATCACTTTTGAGGACTGAAAATATTCGTAATTTTACTCAAAGTAGTCAGCAATACAAGGTTGCTGAGGATGCTACAAGTTCTGTACCATATATGAGTGAAAGTAAAAAGAAACTATTTGATGCCGAACAAAATCAAAACCTTATTAAAAGTCTGAAATTACCAGGATATATATTAAAATATACCAGTAGATTTGAAGAAGAAAACAGACTAACACCACCTGTTAGAATGAGAGTAAAGCAGTCTTCTGAAGTTAAAAATAATCCAATTATAAGTAATAAATTAACTCATCAAAGACTTGAAAATAATTGTTGTATTATAGGACCAGGACAACCAATTGAAACTGATGTAAGAGTTATTCAAACAATTCAAGTAAAAGAATTTTCAAGAGATGAAAGTTATCAGTTGAGAAATAGAGCAGAAACACATAACTGCACTGATAAAGTTCATAGTTCTAAACAAAATAGTCAACAATACAAATTTGCTAAAGATATTAAAAAACCAGCACCTAAAAATGAATGGATTTATATCAAAGGAAATCATGATGGAAGTCAGGAATTACTAACATATGTTCCAAAAAAGTTTGAAGAAAAAAGCAGACCAGTACCACTTGTCGAGAGGTATGCAGAAGAGTTTTCCGAATTTAACAATTGTCCAATTATAAACAAGGAAATAAGACATCTAAGAATTCAAAATAGACGTCATACTATAGAATCAGTTCAACCAAACGAAGCTGATATGAAAGATATTCAAACAATTCCACTAGATGTTAAAGTCATACAAGAACTTTCAAAAAATGACAGTTCTGAACTGAAGAATAAGACAGAAGCAAATAATACAACAGAAAATATACATAGTTGTTTCGATACAAATAAACAATACGAAACTTTTAAAGATACTATAGAAACCACACCATTTGAAAAAGGAAATATGAGACAGTTATTCGATACTGAACAATGTCATATTAGAAATCAGGAAGATCAGGGATATGTCTTGAATTATTGCCATAATTGTTTGGAAACAAGCAAACCTGAATCACTTGTCAGCAGCGGAGCAGAAGAGTCTTGCAAAGTTGAATATAATCAAAATAATCATCATGAATCAATTAATGAAAAGCTTGGAAATAATTATTATCCTGTGAAAACAGGTCAACCAATAGAAAGTGAGATAAAAACTATTCAATCCAAAACACTTGCTGGAGGACGTACAGACGAGTCTTTCAATAAGGAAAAGTCGCATCACGAAACTAAAAATATTCTTAGCTCTATAGCTAAAGACACGCAGCACAAAATTGCTAAGGATACCGCAACACTTATATCATCTGATGGGAAAAGTGCAGAGGGGTTGTTTGAAAGTGCAGAAATGCATATTGAAAAAAAATAGAGCTAAACGAAATTGCAGGAAAAATATACAAGAGTCTTCCAAAGTTGACGTTGCAAAAGTTTTAATTTTAGCAATTATAAGTATATAAAACTCAGAACATTCATAAAAAACACACAGAAGGTTGATATATGCAATAATATTGAGCTGCTTTTTTTTATAATAGTAGAAATATACAAAACATTTGTTTTATATAAAAAATATTATCCGTTTAGTTACAGGTACTCAATTGTAAATTCCAAATAGATTGAAGATATGAACACAATTTTGAAACAAAAGGTTTAATTTTATTTAAATTTAGTATTTCAGGCTTTCGAGTCACCATCTGCCAACAAAAAAGGAAGTATTTTTATTTGGGTTTCCAACATACATTTAGTACCTGGACTTCCAAAGCTGTATTTGTTCGACTAGACTTTCTAATTTTATGCTTTACTGATCCAAAACTACATATTTTCGATGAAACATTTAGATTGGCGAAAAACATTTGTTGTGTTTTGGGCTTATCCACATATAGTGAACCAAAAAAGTTAAGCCGCAATAATATTTATATAAATAAATAAAAAAAATTGTGATTAATTTTTTAATTATAATTTAGTCGCAAAAATCGCATAAAATAATTTTGCTTTACTTTACATACAACTCAGTGCTAACAGAAAATCATATGACGACTATAATGAAATAATGTTATGGTTTTGGATATTAAATAATAGGTGTTTGTTATCATTGGTCGAAAATTTGAGGTTAAATAAACGAGTATGTGTGAAAACTATAGAGATCGTTTCAACAATTCACAAAAAATTAAAATAAAGTGAAATAATTTATATTTTAAGTATGTTATAAACTATTTCTTCTGTTAAATGTTATAGAAAATTTGTTGGAAAATATTTTTAAAGATCCAAAATATATGATTGGATATAAAAAAAATTACCAACATGCTATCAGTATCAGACAAAGTTGACATATTCACGATATACCTATTTCTCATAAAGAATGCATCTTATGTATATTATGGGTGTTTTCCCTCAATACAAAAAAAGTATAAAAAGAGGTTAAAGGTCTCGAGCTGTAATATCAAAGAACATTTATATTGCATCAAATACATTTTGACGACATATGAAATAGCTAAAAAGTATTTATTTATTTACTTAAAATAATAAAAATATTTAAACAATCAAATCATATTCACAAGAATAGTGCGCTATCTACTAACTTCGCATTACTCTGGGATTTTACTTTGAAATGCATTTTACTTTTTTTCAATTCCTGAAAATAATTTTTTTGACTTTTAAGATAAGAATAAACTGGATACTAGCTCCCAACGGAGCAAAGCACTGCGACCAGATTTATCTTTTGTGCTGCAACTGACGCTAACCGAACAGAAGACATTCTGCTTTCTGAATGAAGGCCAGAATGTCGTCCGTTGAGGACCTCCTAACGTCAGAAGGGGAGAGCAGCTCTCCTCCCAGCGACCTCCTCCTTGCCCAGATCAAGGCTGGGCAGTCACAGAGAATATGACTGGAAGTCTCGTCTGCTTCCAAGCAGAATCGACACTCCATTCCTTCGGACAGACCTATTTCATTAAGGTAATAACGCAGTCCATGGTGACCCCTTAAATATCCCACCAGCAATCTCAAAACAGCAATCTTTTCACTTTTACTTTTATCTTTTTTTTTTTTGTTTGTAAAAAGGTAGAGATCAATTATATTAATTTTTTTCATTTATCATTACCCTATGCCTATTTCCGTTTTTTTCCGCCAAGCACCCAGAAGACTAAAGGTAATTGAACAAAAAATAGAATGGGCCGATACTCTCAAATACCTAAGTATAACCTTCGACAACAAGCACTTGTGGCAGGCACACTTCAAATCCAAACGAGCTCAAGTTGCCCAAACAATGCATTTCCTCCACTCTCGTATTAGCATCAAAACTCAATATGAAGAATAGAGTCAACCAGGAATACTCTATGGTAGTATTGCGTTCTGTCAAGCGCCAAACGCCACATTAAAAATTCTTCGAAGAGTGTAAAATATCGCGTTAAGAAAATTGGTTAATGTCGCGTGGTACATAAGAGGGGCGGATATTCAGAGAGATCTGAGAGTCGATTCAGTCGAAAAATACATTAAAGATCGTAAACTGAAACTGTTCAACTGACAGTCACAACAACAACCTAAAAACACAGCGAAATCTGTTAAACACAGACAGACACAAAGACATCAGATCCATCATTTCATAAAGCCCCCATATTCAGTTATTCTTAGTGTGATTAGAAACTGTCCATAGATGAAATAGAGTTAAGATGATAATCACCTACACACGCATACACTTGAACAGATGATTAGAATATTCGATAAAATATTCGATGAGAGTTTGCAATATATCGCTTATTGCTTTCTCATAGTTAAATTCTGTCGTTTCTTATTTGACTAGAGACTTCACAAGAGATTAGCGTTGCTCTCCACGAACTATTTTAAAGACTTTAACAAGAGACTTTCTGTCTTGTGACACTCGAGACCAATAGAATACAGCAGTTAATGTATTGTATGTAAAACTACGTTAATTCTTGTAGGTGAAACTACATGATTTCAAAATATTTTGTGACATATTGGAAAATGAATCTCCAAAACATATACTTCATGTACTTAGGATATGTTTCCATTAATCGATTTCGTTTATATAGATTCTTCTAATATTTTAATTTTGGTTCCAAAATATTAATAATAATTTTTTTTCTTAAATAATCTAAATACTCTGATGTAAAAGTCAAATATATATATAAAACAATAATTCTACACATTTTTTATTTTCCTGTTTTACAATTTTAAATATGTTTCTAAATTAATAGTAGACAGACTTATCTTTCACAATAGTTGGCAGAATAACACCATCAGCGATATCACTGTGGGTGATTTCTGTTTGGTACTGCATAAAATTTACCGAGTATAATAATAGTTTCTCAAAGTAAACGCTTTTATTTTATCATGTCAAATCACTACCGTGCGAACTGTTCTAGAAATTCTCATGATAAATATTACGATTGTTCAAGCGAGCATGATATGAGGCCGCGCAACTCTAGGCGTAATAATCACCAAAGATCTACTAATGTACTACAAAATCTAGGTGATCTTAAAGAATTTTACGATCAACTACAAAAATTTGCAGACCTTACGCATGAAATCTTTAGAAAATACTCGAATAACAGACACTGCAATTGTTCGCCCATGGTTAGTATTCCACAAAAACATAACAACAAACATTGCTGCCATCACAACTGTCAACATAGACGAAAATGTTCAACAGAGCGAAAACATCCGCCGCAAATACATTACGAACGAGAAGAAAGTCGTCCGTCTGGCAGTCAGCAGAGACATAGTTCACAACAATATAATGATCGGTCAGGTTGTAGTTGCGTATCCAACAGAAAACAATTGCCAAAACTATCAAATCATTCTTCAATGTGTATGATATTAGAAAATTCGGATTATTCAAAATGTAAAAGAAGGTCATTACCAGAAAATCAAGGAACCTGTGGAGCTAACAGTTCAATGAATGAACACTATAATAAATGTTCTCGGTACCCGGAAAGAAGTAAAAAATGTGGTGGATTTTTTCACGGTAATAATAACTGTAGTGATTCGCAACGCGGCGATACTCTAAAACAGAGAGAAACTAACGACAATCTTGAGTCGTGCACTTGCGACTATTGTCAATGTATGCCAGATATCTATAATGGGAATAATATTTTTATGGACATAGGCTCTGATGACGAATTTGAAGATAGTGATTCCTTGAATTACACATTTAAAGCAATACGTTTGGAACCTGTTGACATTCTGTTACAAGATTGTCTTGAAACTGAAAATGGACAATGCACAACGTCAGATAAAAACACACAAACATTTATGCAAGATGTAAATGAGAGCACAAGAAACAATTGTATGATCAACAAAGAAGTTCAAACAGAACCCTTTGATAAGAATAATAATAATAAATCTTTTGCTGAAAGTACAAAAAAAACTTCTGGTCAATTTGACAACGATCAACCAACGTCTGAAGTCTGAACAAAATTTTCAAACTGCAAGAAATTCGTTCGAACCAAATATATCATCTCCAAAAGAATCTAAAAGAGAAAATTCTCAGTCAAAATCGTTTTCAGAAAAAGAGCAGATTAAGAATAATGAAAATAATGACGATGAAAATAATCAAATTTCGGAATCGAAACCGATTCAGGTGGGAAGTATAGAAGAGTCTTCCAAAGTTGAAAGTATTCAAGATATACACAAAGAATCAAAAGAGTTTGAAAAAGAATCTCCCGCCGTTGAAAACAATCAAATTAAAGATAAGGAAGACCCCAGTTTCGAAACTGAGAGAACTAATCCCTCTGCAGATAAAAGTAAACAAAACAATGTTGATAAAGAAGATGATAAAACAAGACCAGAAGGAGGACGAAACGCAGAGTTTTTCGACATTGAAATTAATCAAATTCAAAGTAAAGAGAAGTTTGGTTATGAGATTAGAAGTACTCAGCGCTCTACATATAGAAATGAACAAATTGATAAGGATAAGGAAGATGTTGAGACAGCAAGTGGAAGAAACGCAAACAAGCCAAGTTACGAAAGTAGAAATGTTCGTCGTTCTGTAGATGGAAGTAAACAAAACGATATTGATAAAGATGTTGAAACAAGATCAAAAGGTGAAAAAAACATAGGAGAGCTTTTTGATAATGAAAATAATGCGATTAGAGACAAGAAAGAATCGAGTTACGAAACTGATAGTAGTCATCGCTCAGCAAATAGAAGTAAACAAAGTAATATGGATAAGGAAGAAGTTGAAACAAAACCAGCAAGTGAAAGAAACACAAAGTCGACTAAGTTGTTCGACTTTGAAAATAATCTAATTAAAAATAAAGAAAAGTCAGGTTATGAAAATAAAAATGCCCATAGTCTTGTAGATGGGAATAAACAAAACATTATTGATAAAGAAGATGTTGAAACAAAGTCAGTGGATGGAAGAAAAACGAAAAGGTTTTCGGATATTTCCAATGTCATTAAAAACAGTTTTAATCAAGTTAACAATAAGGTAAATCCCAGGTACGTAACTGGAAGTACTCAGTGCTCTGTAGATATAAGTCAACAAAACAATATTGATAAGGGAGATGTTGAAACAAAACCAGCAAGTGGAAGAAACACGAACGTGTTTTCTGACTTTGAAAGTAATCTAATTAGAGATAAAGAAAAGTCAGGTTATGAAAATAAAAATGGCCATAGTTTTGTAGATGGGAATAAACAAAACATTACTGATAAAGAAGATGTTGAAACAAAATCAGTGGATGGAAGAAAAACAAAAAGGTTTTCTGATATTTCCAATGTCAATCAAAACAGTTTTAATCAAGTTAAAAATAAGGATAATCCCAGGTACGAAACTGGAGGTACTCAGTGCTCTATAGATATAAGTCAACAAAACAATATGGATAAGGGAGATGTTGAAACAAAACCAGCAAGTGGAAGAAACACGAACGTGTTTTCTGACTTTGAAAATAATCTAATAAGAGATAAAGAAAAGTCACATCACGAAAGTAGAAATGCTCGTCGTTCTCTAGATAGAAATCAACAAAATGATATTGATATGGAAGACTTGCATACAAAACTAGCTGATAGAACAAATACGAAAAAGTTAGTTGGTGCTGTAAATATGCAATTTCGAGATAAGGAAAAGTTCAGTTACGAAACTGAAAATAGGCATCATTCTGAAGACAGAAGAAAACAAGATGAAATTGTAAATGATGATACAAAACCAAAGGATATCAAAAATAATCAATTAGCGAATTTTGAATTATCAGAAAATGAAATCGAAAAAACCAGGCCTTCTTTTGAAAAAAAACACAAAATCGATATACATAAAGAGACTACTCAAACTAAACCATCTGGTACAACAAATACAAAAGAGTCATTCTCCATTAAAAATAGCAAAATTGAGTGTTATGAAAAACAAAATCACAAAACTGAAATTGTTCCTAGTAATTCGAATAGAAATATTTTAAAACTAATGGGTGAGAAAATTTGCAAAATAGTGAGTGACAAAAGTCGTCGACCTGAAGAAACAGGCGCTGATAAAAATATTGAAATGACAGGTAATGATAAAGCAAGTAGTAGAAAATCTACAAAAGAGCTTCCAGTCAATAAAAAAAATCAGAATCAAAATGAGAAACAGTACAAAAAGCACACTACAAATGTTAAACAACAAAAGCCTGATACGTCTGATGAAGCCAATAGACCAACTAAAATTGAAGCAGAGAGTGAGTTGAGCTATTCCAATGATGAAGAGATTGAAATGGTGGACAAAATTGTGCAAACTTCATCGTATAGAAATCTAACACTTGAAGATCTTGAAATACAAACTTCTAATACTCTTTTGGAGGGATTAAGGGACATTGAAAATAATAATAAAAGAGTCCCGAAAAGAAGTTCTAATCACTCAACCACAGAGTCACATAATTTAAAGAAAACGAACCGCAACAATAAAAAATGAAAACCGATTCGAGAAAATATGTAAGTTTTCTTCAAACTACTATTCTGCTATTCTGCAAATTATCCCTTTAAGTGTTGCAGTTAGTCACTAAAATATCTGTAATATCTTAGATATTATTTATTAGTATTCTTAACAAACGTGTTCACCTTATGTCTAGAAGCCAACTCCTCATGAACGACTAACTAAAAGCAGTGCACAATAAACAGTGTTGCCTTGTGCACTTTTCGGTAATGTATTATTTAAGTACTCTACAATATCAAAATTTTATCTCGAATTTTTTCAACTTTTGTTTATATCCGAAGATAACTATTAAAATTTACATATTCACTAGGAAACTATTGAATAGATTCGGGCTATGGAGCTGGTTTGACTGTTTTGTCTAATAATTGTTTAGATAGATTTAGATGGATACAACTTATATTTAATTATACGTAAATAATTTGTTTGTTACTGCAAGTCATTATCCAGCTGACCTAAAGCCTTATTTATTATACAAAATTTATTGAAACTGGAAAGTTTATTAAATATTCCTATATCTGATTTGCTTCTATGTATCAAATTAGAGGTTCTACATTTGGAAAATATTGTTCATGTTGCCCTTAACCTGGCTACAGAACAATTTGAGACTTCGTTGTAGCTGGCAAAGGCAGGGATTGTGTCAGGAGTTTTCATAAAACAGGTGTCCAGTCTAGCAAGCTCATCTGCACTTAACTGGAAGCATTTCCTACTATGTTGAAATGCCCGGGCACACAAATTAGAGTTACCTTGAACCTGCCGCTTAGTACATTCATGTAATACGTACATTCTTGCACTAATCTAGATGGAATCCAGTAAGTCAGTAAGAACATAGATTACCTCTTTCTGATTACCCTCTTTCTTTTCCATGTTGGTAATAGGAGAACATGTTTAAAAGCAGTTAATAAAAATTTTTTTAAATAGTTTCTGTACTACATTTGACTTTAGCTAAAAGCAATTTGTTTGAACAACAAAAGTTTTTAATAAGAAATTCTTAATTACTGACGAGTTCAGAAAGGTTTGCACTCATGTCCGTCTTTTGGTTCTAAACTTACTAAGGGTGAATCTTATTCTCTAGCAGATAGATGTGATATTTTGTTGCATAAGACATTTCTGTCTAATACATAATATATAAATATTAAATCTGTTCTGTCAGTCACTTTAGTTGCACACTGTTTGACGAAAAGCATCTGGCAATTACCTATAGTGTCGTGTCATTAAAAATATAAATTATTCAAGCCCTCTTTTGAAGAAGGGATTTAATTTCAGTGTTTAATATCAAAAAATCAAAAATTAGTAATAAAAAATTATCAAATTAAAAGTCGAGCTTTCAATTATAAATACCATTTAGGTTTTATTCGGTGAAATAACCCATGTATTTACAATTAGATATAATTGTTTGTCTTTTTTAATCAAATTAGAATGAAAATTCTTTAAATTAATTAAATATTTTTTCTAATTTCTTTCTGCAGAGAAAAAGCGCCTGACATTGTAGAGATGATGGATTTTTAATTACATGTCGATTTGACGGCAAAAGATTCTCGTTTAATTGCAATAACTTGAATTTCTGAACACTTAAATAAAATAAAAAATATTCAAATTATTTAGAAAGTGTAGGGAATGATAAAATATTTTTATATAGTCAATTTTAGTAGACCAAGCTCTAAGTAGTAATTTCTATTCCGCAAAAAAGGTTTTAACTTTATTTTTTTATTTATGTGTTGGGCGATTAAAGCTTCTCTCATTTCATTTAAATGACTTCCAGTAATGAAACGTATAAGTTTGCATTATTAGAATTGACATGACAGTTTAGATTGCTGCACTGACAGTTGAGTTCAGTTAAAATCTCACGCTCATCAAGCATTTAATTTGCGTTAAGAATTTAGCATCCTTTTTTTGTTTGCTTTACATTCTTATTTTCCAGCAATTTTTTCCAACTCATAGTTCATTGGTTTTATTCGCCTCCCGGAGCAGGGGTGAAAGTTTTGATAACGGCGATGATACTGCCAATCCGCTGTCTCCGCACTGTATCAGCAGTCTAATTGCTGAACGCTGATGCTGAGCAATTTTACTTCAATTAAAATTACTTTGTTTGCATAAGCTGCTTTTAATTAAATTCTATTTTGTACACTCGCATTATGCGAATGGAGATAAACGCCTCCTTTCCACCTCGTATTTTCATTAATGCACGGAAGCGTTTCCTTGAATAATCCGCTACTTGTTAGTATGTGTGGAAATGCGAGAAAATGTGTGAAAATATGCTTTAATTAAGCGGTTTTCAGTCGAGTAATAAGAACTCGCATCGCGAACTCACCAATGTTAGTATATGAAGTGCTTTACGCACAATTTGTTTTAAATATAACAAAATATCCGACAAATAAAAATAATTTAAATATGCATTATATGCTTAATGCTATATTTTATTTGATTGAGTTTGCTTCGACATTCTATTATCTTAAATTGATTGAAACAACATTGCCAGAAACCAAACAAACAAGTACCTACTTTATTTATTATATACAATACTCAAACATTATATATTTTTTTAGATACACAGATACGATCAGAGACTTTCTGCAACACCTGCGCTACAGTAGTACGAAAAACAACACCAACAAACCATAACAATGTCAGCAACAAAAATCCTTAAGTTGGCAATTTTTTGGCAAATATTTATGGTGAATGCCACAAAACTGAAAATGGCCGTATTCCAGCATCAGTACAAAACCGAGGAACTTAAGTAAGCACATAAACATTTGTTTCTAATGCAAGACGTATATGTAAATATCATTGTATATGAATTTATCTGTGACATTATTTGGTGCTGCAACGGCAAGACCCCACATCCAAAATGTGCCACTGCAACAAAGAACAACAAATGCTGCAGCTCATCTCAGTAGTTCCAAACTATGGAATAAGTTGAAATTGTCTACAAGTGAAATTACAGCCAAGTTAACATAAACAAAATTTGTCATGCGGTCAACCAAAGGCAGACAACAGTCAGGATAAGTGCAGCTGTTACATGTTGCATGTTGCAGTGCAAATGCAACATTTTAAAATATTTTAACTTGCTAACAACTTTCATTTAGGTACGATATCGAGTAAATTTGGCTAACACATATTTTATAATTTCTATCATTTTGCTTAAAGTATAAAATTAAAGAAGAAATCCGCATAGACGCTAAGCTTACATGTACGAGAAGAGGATACTATTCAATGCTGCATTCTAGCACTATATTATTCTTATTTCGTACTATTTTTACAGAAAATGTTTGTGAAATAGTTTACCAATATTCATAATATTGTCTTCATTATCTTCATTTACATACTTATCAAAAACTACTAAAACAATACTATTTTCATATTTAATGTCACAATAATCATACTTTTTGTTACACATAAAAAACAATAAAAAAGGTAAAGTGAAAAAAAAAAAAATTGTATTTAAATTTTTTTCTTAATTTGTAAACATATTTTTATTGGCTTAAACATGTTCAACTGAAAAGAATTAACTGCGCCAAAATTCTTCATTACCTTCAACCGCTATTTAGAAATGAAAACCTCAATGCTAAGAACAGGAAACTGATATATACCCAAATAATTTGTCCGTCACTTCTATATGGTTGCGTAGCGTTTAGCAAAGCTTCAAACACTACTATTCACCAGTTAGAAATTGCACAAAGCCAGGCTCTGAGAAGATTTTTCAAAGTTCCTTGGTACATTAGGACGAATGACATCCTCAGGGACCTCAAGATTGATCCCATCAAAAAATACATAAAGGATAGAGCCCTGAAATTATTTGCGAAATCTGACAGTCTTACTAACACCGCGTTATTAAATCTCAGAATGGTTTCAGGTTCCTCGGGGAGATATGCAGATCTGAGGTCAATTATTGCTTAGTCTAATGAAGTGATAAACAAAAATCCAGTCAAGGCGCAAAGAGGGGTTTTTTAGAAACCTTGCAGTTAATAGAGAGTAAAAGTGCTCATGTGCACTGACTCAACTCAACTAGCCTCAACATATTATATATATTTTTATATATATATTCATATTCAAAATATTTAAAACATATTAAAATAAGTATCAAAAACCATGTAAACTATTTATTCACATTTTTAATCAGCTTTCTCAGAAAAACATACGTAAGTACATTTAGACAAGGCTATTAGTTCTTCAAAACTGGTTCATGAGTACCAGTTTTCTGTGGCAAGGGTATAGCAAGCAATAGCATGACGAATGAGCAAGCATCATCTAGTGATCTAGTCTTAGAGTCACACTCTAAACTGTTAGATACTATAAATATATATGTGTTGAATATATCTCTTTTATCCTTGTCTCCCAGTGGAGCATAGGGCCTCTACCATATTTTTATATCGGATTCGGTTACTTGATTCGCGGCATATATCACTCCAGGAATAGTTCGCTTCTCTTAATAATGTTGTTGATGATGTGTTGAATATATAATGCTCTTTATGGCTAGCTATAGTTTCCTTCATAGCAAACATTTTTGTTCCAAAGACATTGTGATTAGATTTTTTTATAATATGTAAATATTTTTAGTTATTACTCTAAATGAATATATTTGTTGAAAGTTAAAATGCTGATAAAGTATTTAGTACTTTTTATAGGGGAATTAAAACAATAGAGAATAAAACAATATAGAATTACCATCATCATTGGCTATCTACTGTAAAGTAGTTTCAAACCATAGAGCACAGGATACCGCCAATTCTTTGCTTATAAGATAAGGTGTTATCAAATGAGGCATCAAGTCTTAGGTAATAGTTTGTATCCTGCTCCGCACACTGGTATACCATACAATAGTTTTTTTAATATGACGACGATGTGATGTCATTGAATTTAACGTAGTTGTGTAGTGTACTCTTTGCTATTGTCTGTATGTGGTTTCTGCATGAATTGCAATGTAGAACTTTATAAATAGAGAAGGATTCCTAGATTGCTAACACTTAACTATAAATGTAACCCTGTGACTACTTCAAAGAAGTGTTTGACGATGTTTAACCGTAATCTGCACAAGTTCTTGTACCATTTCGTAAACGGAAATGAATATCACAATATATCAAACACCGAGGAGACCGAGACAAAGCAGAAGACTCGTACAACACTTGCAACAAAGAAGATCATGGCTATATTTTTTTAAGATGCACACGTTATAAGTAACATACATTTTCTTGAAATGGGTTTAACAATAACCTATGAACATTATTGAGCACTATTAAATAGGTTCAGTATCCACTTAAAGCCAAAACAGCCGCAATTGGTGAAGTAAAAATTGATCTTCTGTCAATACTATGCACAGGTAAGCAGTTGTGCAGTCTTCATGACCAAAATTCATAAATTGAGCTTCTTCATAGGAAGAATATTATATTATTCTCCACATTTAGCTTCCTGTGTCTATTCCTTCTTTTCAAAGCAGAAAAAATGGTTCGGCGATAAGATATGGGTCAGGTAAAGTGAGGAATGCCTATTTTCAGGATCTGCCGAATGTTTGTTAATAACTTTAAATAACGAATAAATTGTTACTCAAAATATTTGATAGTATTAAATATTTCTAAAACTCAATTTTTAATTTTTGTTATATCATCAAAATTAACTCTACGCTCGCTTTCTGTATTTCAAAGAATTTAGTTCAAAAGGTGAAGGACAGAGTTAATTACACTTTATATTATTAATATTCCATTTAATCCTGCACTCATTAAGTAACTACTGCGTAAGCCATCATTTCAGAAAATTTCGCCTTCAGCAATATTAGAATAAAGTTAATGCAAGAGCAGGATGTCATTATAGAATAACTCCTGGCCATTTTGTGTGCATTAATCCTGCATTACTATGAAATGAAATGAATAAGTTCTGTTTGATTACCTTTCTCAACACTCAACGGGATACGCTGAAATTAATAACAAAGACATCCTTTCGCTTTCAAGCACAAAAATTCAGCTGGGCCAAGCCATTTCCAGCGCAAAGTAACGAAATACTAAAAATGTTGCTGAAAATGTCGCATTCATTAACCTAAGCAGCAGGTGCCACCGGAGAATGCACCTGCGAATTCACTGCTTCCAAATTACAATATAATCTTTTATTTATGCCCATTGCCAGCGAATCCAGAAAAATTCTTAACGATTTCTTCTAGCAAACATTTTCTGTGCCACTTATTTTTATTTATTTCAATTCAGCATTTTTCATTTATTATTTTTACTTTTAATTCCTACACCTCAGCCAGCGGAGAATGCAAATGAAAAATGCTAAACCGGAAAAGCGCTGAAATGTGAATAAAATTCTCGAAATAATGAATGGAAATGAACTTCCCGCCTGCGAGTATAACACTTCGCATGATTTTGATTAAGGATCTGTTTTGTTTGCTTTGGGGCGCACGCTGTTTATGAAAAATATTTGAAGAATAGGAAAAGGCACCGTTTCAGAAGAATGCAAATTGAAAAGCTACAAAAATTGCTACGAATGTCGGCAGCTGTTTTTCCACACACGTCTGCATATACATTCACATATGCGTATACCTGAAATGTATATTCTAAACTTAGGTATACGTATGCGAGTAAATTCAATGTCTGACAAAAAATTAATTTAAAGAGTTTCAGTCGAATAAAAATAGTTCGCATAGGTTCACATAAATATATTCTTTTTGTTTGAATTGTATAAAAACGATTTTCAAATTATAAAAAACAAACTTTATTAAAAAGCAAGCGGAGAGTATAATCCATTATCCACTATCCAGCATAATACTGAATACTGATACTCATGAAGTTTCAGAATTGAAAACCATTCGACATTTGGTTGCGTTATATTTCTATTTTAATTTTACTGTAGCTGCTTTCCTGTCATTGATGTCATACCTTACTCTTCCAATCAACATATATATATATTGACATTCCAGCTGACATCCTTTTTGCCTCGAGTAAATTAACTTTGTCTTATTTATATTAGATCCTTATACAATCATATCTCTGTTAATCATATCAACTACCCACATCCATTTTTTTTTACTATAGGTAGAAAATTAACCTCAATCTCTTTTTTTGATTCGAATATAGCTTTTACTGGTCAGCGACTAAATAAAATAAACTAAATAAAACAAAGCTCCGAAAACTGTTTGTTCTGCACTCCACGAAAGGCCACACAAAAAGAGGACTCCATCACTTTTTGGGACACTCTAACAAGTCGCTTCGAAGAAGATCTCTGAGCGAATATGTTTTTTTTCTGCTTGCAATATTCATGCGCCACAACTCTTATACCTCAATGTTTAATTCTCATATGACAGTGCCCATATTTATCTAGAATAAGATCAAAAATCTCTGGGCCCTTTTTTTACCGACCTGACTGAAGTGTTATCCTGCAATATCAAGAACTTAGCCATAGAACTATCAGGTTGGTTTACCTTGACCAAATGGGGAAATCGTTGCCCCCATTGGGCGTTGGTCGTATACTGACCTTCTAGTCTATGTACAAACCAACGCTCTTCCTGTGGTACCACCACGGACCATTGTTTGTGCTCAAATGGGCTTTCTGGGATTAGAATGTGTTGTAGTTTCTTAGAGATATTTGTAGTGGATAATTGACTTTTTTTGTGTAAATTATGTAAATTATGCTATAAATTTCAATACTGTCAAATAAAATGTAGAAGTAACCGATTAGTAAGATCGATGTATCTAGGACTTCGACTATTTTATG